AAGACTCATCCATACAAATCAACTTATAAGGTAAGTGTTGCCCCAACTTATATATTCTTTAATTGTTTTATTTTCAATTGATGTGGGACTTGAAGTTTTTTTTTAAATATTAAACTTATAAATTTAAATATTTTTTTGATTTTTCTTGCAGATTAAAATTGACAGGAAAATTCGCAGGAAAAGTTACCTGCAAAATTTTTCTACCATTTAATAAATATTATTTGCAAATTTATTTTTGCAAGAAAATTTGCAAGAAACAAAATGAAATTCTTACAATATTTTCTGTAAATTTTGACCATATGGAAATTTTTTTCTATGATCATTAAAATTGTAGCAAAATTTGCAAAAATTTCTTGTAGATTATTTTTCATAATAAGATTTATAGGAAATATCTGTAAATTATTTTTATTAAAATAATATTTTTTAGCATAAAAAATAAAATTATTTGGATAATAAAGAGATAAGTTTGTACATATATATATATATATAATACATTTTTTTAATTTTTATAATATTTATATTAAAAATATTGAAAGAGCAATAATTACGAAAGGTATATAAATTTTTATTCAATTAATAAATAAAATTATTTTTTTTAATCCTATAAATTAATTATTTATTTAGAACTATCATGCACTAAACTACTTTTTATAATAGTTTAGTTTTTAAAAATAAAACTTAAAATATAGTTTAATTTAGTTTTTTTATAAAAATTAGTTTAGTTTTTTATAGTCTAGTTTAGTTTTTATAATAGTTTAGTTTTAATATAGTTCTTTGAACACCCCTAGTCATAATGTTATGGTGGTGATAATGGTATGTATTGTTCCACAAACATATGTTAAATTAGTGAATTCAACCTAATATGACTTGTCCTTAATCTGTTAAATATGGGTTAAGTTGGATTAGGTCAGGATGAAATTAAGGTTGGGTTGAAAATTTTAACTCTCTTGAACTTGTAGTGAATAGTTTGGGTAGGTTGATCCACAAAAATTATTTTAAAATAAAATTATAAATTTTTTTAATAAATTAATCTATTAAATACATAATTAAGTATGGGGTTGACAAATAATATGATACCAACGTAATATAACATGATTAATAAATAATCTTATTCTTTAAGTATATGGTCTTGAGATTCGAATTTGATTGAAAAAGGTCATGTTTCTCAATAAAATCATATCTAAGTATCTAAAAGATTAATCTTTGTCTTTAGGCGAATGGATACTACGTACTGTAATTCAACAAAATAAGATCAAAATAATATCATCTTACTAAATTGTATTATAGAACAAATCAGTTTTTGAAGTTATCATCTTAAGTTAAATAAATAAAATTGAATGATAAAACAGTTTTCAAAATAAAAGATGTTTGCGTAAAGGAAACTAAAATGATTTTTAATTCAATTTCAATGCCCTTCTAAATTCTTTTTCAAAATTAAGAAAAATATTTACGAATTTGATTTATAGGAAAAATAGTTTTTTTTTTATATTATATTTGATAACAACATTTACATTAATTCTATTATCACAATTATTATTGTTACTACTACTATTATTATTAACATTATTATCATTATCGTCGTTGTTATTATTACTATCACACAAATGTACCTCTCAACTAATTTTAATAGGAACTTTCAAAGTGAGTTTATTTGGAAACTAAAAATCAATAAAAAAAATTAAAACTAAATTTTCAAAATTATAAACTAGTTATGGAATTTCTTAAAACTTACAACTATAAATTGGTTGTAGAATTTTTTTTAAAACTTACTATTAGAATCCAATATTTTAATCACTAACATTGTCGCCATTGTCATTATGCAAATATACTCATTATAAGAAATGTCATATATAACGCATATAAAAAATGTTACTAAAAGTATATAAAAGATATATATATATATATATATATATATATATATATATATATATATCTATTTCACATATAATTTGTTATGTACAATTTTAGTATTGATTTTAAATAAAATTTAATAATATATTTTATGTGTCACTATAATATATACTTACACTTTTTAACTATATATCAATATATATTGCATTTATTATGTGGATAAAAATAATTTTTAGTGACATATTTTGTATTACTATAAAATGTATGTTACTATATAACAATTTTTTTGTAGTGATTTTTAAATTAATTTTAACAAAAACTTTCAAAGTGAATTTATTTTAAAACTACAAATTAGCAAAAGAAACTAAAAATAACTTCTAAAACTTATATAAACTAGTTGTAATTTTTAAAATTTTAGAAACTTAGAAATAAAAACCACCCTAATCGGATCCTTAAGATTTTGAGTTGAACGCAGTGTGAAATTCATTGGTATAATTGACCTATAGCTTATTGATAGATTTCTTAATGGTGTTTTAATCCTCATTGTATATTCCTACAAGTGTTATGGCGACTATTAATAAAAGAATTAGTACTAAATTTATATATTTATGATCCTTGAGGAGGTTGATTAGGTAGTTCGTTTCATTATAATGTGAGCTAGTAATTGTGTAAGAATGTAGAATATAATTATGACTTAACTTTAATTTCACCATATAATATTCATGGATGGAAATACTTCAACTTAATGGGGAAGGATGTAATAGAAGAGAGATTATTGTTGGAGTATAAATGTGAGTAAGATGTCTCACATAAGATAAAAATTTATAAATTGGGTAACATAATTTTTTTGAAGATGAAAAGTTTAGATTAGAATAAGGTATAGCCTTAATGTAAAGTTAAAGTTGACAGTTAACCTCTTTAAATTTTTTTAATAAAATTACAGATCATTTATCTTATCTTTGATATAAATTTGTATAAAATGATATAAAATTCGAAAGAAGTCAGTTTCAAGCTAATTTGGATAACATATAAATAAAAAGAATTTACAAACCTAATAATATATTAAGATTTTGAATTAGCGTGGTGTTAAATTTACTACCCTCATATAGCATGCAACTGTTGTATAGTATTTTTTATTTTACGGCCGATAACTGTTACTTATTTTGCTCACCCATTAATGAACCATCAACTCAATAATTTTTTGTTAGAACTTACTATCAGAGGTGCAAGACTGTGGAACGGTGATTTATCGACAAAGCATGGGGCTGGTTTGGCCTCATTTTTTCATATTTTTGATGTTGTTCCTAGTTTTCTTGGTAACGTTTCAAGAGCAGACGCTTCTTGTATTGTTTTCTTGAGAGGCTTTTAGACCTCTTGGTACTAAAAAGAAAAACACTGGAATGGTGTGAACTAGTAACCAACACATGCAGATCAAAATGCGATATATGCACCTTCTATTTTCCTACCAACAACTAGCATCCACATTCAAATAATTTCTCTCCTATTATCGAGGGTTAAGAAGGAAATTCTAGGCTTATTTAATTAAGGGTATCTGAGATTAGAACAATCTTTTTCCCAAAAATCTCCTTTAGTTATTGTTAAATAAAATTAATTACATAATATAAATTAAAGTAAATTATATATGATTTAAAATTTACCATAGTTTGGTTAAGACACTCGTCATCCCTTCACACCCCTTATTGGTTTAAGTAGTTTGAAAAACTTCTCTGCTGTCTTGCTTGTAACATAAAGTAAGCTTTATAAAATAATAAAAAATTAATTTCTAAATTAAAATATAAAAAAAACAAAACCTTATAGATACCGTATGAAACTATATACTCTACCACAAATATGAAGCTCCCAATTATACTATACCAATTTTTATACAAATCGGTGATCTATGAATTTTTGTGCATATTGGATCGATATAACGTGTCATTAGATTTTTTTTTTCTTTCCAATTTCATGATTGATATATATATATATA